GTATTTCCATTGGTTAATAATCTTTTAGTTGACTCTTTTAAAATCATTGGAAATTATGACTGTTATTAGTTTTTAAACAAGTAATTTGTTTATAAATAACTCCTGGGGCCCATTTCATAATAAACTACAAGTTACAAGTTACAACTTGTAACTTGTAATTTCCATTAGATTTGCATTGGGCGATCAGCTGATTTACTAATAATATTAGTTTGTACTTTATTATGAAATGGACCCCTGTACTTCTTTGCAATTGCTCGATTTCGAGCAACATGTACACTAGTACTTATTTAATACGCAAGCAGGTTTTTTGTGACAATTACTCCTCCGAAACTACTGAACCGATTGACATGTTTTTATTTATTTATTTATTTATTAAACACCAACGGCAAACACCATTTTACATTAAGTAGTTACAAAAAATATTATAAAGATATAATAATTAACAGAGGAGTAACAATGCATAAAGAAATATAACAATGTATAAAAAATATAACAATAACAAAACATAACAATGAATATATCAATAACAAGAATACAAACAAAATAGATCACAAATATTAACATGGGAAAAATCAACAACAAAGGAATAACAACAACAATGCTTTTATGGTGTACCCTCGAGGATGCTGTCAGCCGCAGAACGCCGAACCACCCCCAAGGAGGCAGTTAAAAGGTCCACAGAGCTGCTTACCACATTCCCAAAGCGCATGATCCGGGGAATGGGACTAGATCTGGCGTAGTTGGTCCCAGTATAGTCCAGTTCAAATACACGCTGATGTCTCGTGATCCTCGAAGGAACATGGAAGTTTATCCTTTCCAGCAAGAAGGGGCAGTTGACTTGGTTATTTATCAGTTTGTAGAGAAAGGTCACATCAGCCACTCGCCTTCTGTTTTCAAGACTCGGAATGTCATAGATATTAGAGAGCTCATCTACCCGGACGTCACGAAAGTCAAGTCCAGCACGACATCCCAGGAACCTGATGAAGCGTCTTTGTACCGACTGAAGATGGTAAATATGGCCAAGATGGTATGGTGACCAAACCAAGGAAGCATACTCGAGAAGCTGCAGGATGAGAGACTTGTATAGGATAATACAGGCATGGTTGCTCAAACCATGTCTAGCAGAGCGGAATACCAAACCGAGCATACGAGAGGCCCTGGTGCAGATTTGGTTTATGTGGGGTCCAAACTCGAATGAGGAGTCAATTAGAACACCAAGATCCTTGATGGTATTGCATCTCTCAACCCGGTTGCCATCAAGAGAGTAGTCAGCTAACACTGTATTTAATTTCCTGCTGAACGTGATCAATTTGGTTTTTGTGGGATTCACAGCCATGTCATTGGAGAGGCACCAGCCTAATACGTCATCGAGGGCGTCCTGCAAGGACTGGCAGTCATGATGTGATGCAACTTCGACGAGTAGCTTAATGTCATCCGCAAATAGAAGAAATGGGACTTTGATGACCTTCTTAATGTCATTAATAAAGATGGAAAACAAGAACGGTCCAAGATGATGAACACCAGAACTTGCAGCGAAGAAAGAAGAGACTTCAGAACCAAGGCGTACAGCAAGCCGTCGATTGGTAAGGTAGCTCTTAAACCATTGTAGAATCCTTCCAGTGAACCCATAGCCTTGGAGCTTTGCAAGCAGATGACTATGATTTATCTTGTCAAAGGCTTTACTAAAGTCAATGTAAATGGCGTCAACTTGATTTCTTCGACCAAAGGCTTCCAACACCAAACACTGGAGAGATAAAAGATTCGTCACAGTGGAGCGACCAGAGGTAAAGCCATGCTGCTCATCAATTATGATATGTTTAAATAAAGGCTGTATGATGTCTAAAATAAGCCCTTCAAAAATTTTACTGAGGACGGACTGGATTACTATGGGCCTGTAGTTTGTAACATCGCAACGATCACCGGATTTGAAGATTGGAACCACATAACCATATTTCAGTGTGGAGGGAAAAGTGCCTGTAGACAAACTAAGGTTAAATAGGAAATGGAGCTGATGTACCAGCTCAGAGTGGCAGAATTTGAGTACTCCAGGCGTGATGTTGTCAGGTCCACTACCCTTGGTGGGGTCCAAGTGAAGAAGCTTCTTATTGATATCTTCTAGGGAGATAGCACAATCTGAGATGGTGAATGGAGTATCAAATGAAGGTACTGGCAGCTCATCAAGGGACGCATGAGAGTAGACAGACGAGAAATATTCGGCAAACAGTTCACACATCTCATGTGGGTGGGAAACCTCAGTTGGACCATGTTTAAGGGAGCAGGGCATGGAAGATGTTCGATTGAGATTCTTCACAAAACTCCAGAAGATCTTGACATTAGTGGAAATGGTAGTGTTAACATGGTTGACGTAGCTCAAACGACAATCCCTGGATACAGCCCTGCATCGGTCCCGAATGACGCTAAAGTTGTGGTAGTCAATCAAGTTGAGAGATATCTTATATTTCTTGTGAAGCGTCTTCTTCAGAATAACAAGTTCCCTAAGCTCTTTGGAGAACCATTTTGGAAAGACGGAGGGACTGACAGACTTCCAAGGAGAGTGAGATTTGATGAGTTCGCTGAGTTGACTGCAAAAAGTGGAAAATTGAAGATTGACATCGCTGCAATCATAGTCGAGCTGAATGGCTCCGTCCTGGAGGTCAATTTTAACCTTTTCAATGTCACATCTTCGAATGTTCCTGATGAAAGTAGGGTGCTTTGGGCGCTCGATCGATGGTTCAATATCTGCAGAAACACACAAGCTAGGATGGCAGGGTTCTTGGGCAAGGAGGGGGTCATTAGCATGTGACACGGTAAAGACGTCGGATGACCCAAAGATCAAGTCCAGCTGAACTCCTCTATCATTCACCACATCACTGATCTGATTGACACCAAGATGTGCAGCCAAGTCCAAAATGATATTGACCGGTGGAGTAGCAGTTGACAGTTCGGGGTGAATCCAGTTGAAGCCTGGTTGATTGAAGTCACCAGCAATCAGTATGTGGTCATAGTTGTGGTAGACTGACAATACTTCCACTAGTGACTCAGCAAACAGAGAGTAGAGTCTTGTTTGAGCTTGAAGAGGGATATAGGCTGCACAGACAACTATCTTGCAGCTGGCTGTAAGTTTAACAAGAACACATAGTGCCTCCACTGGTAAATCGGGCTGTACGATTTCGGATGAAAAAATAGTCTTGTGGACGGCAATCAAAACACCCCCACCATCCTGCTTGCTACTAGTTTGGGGCGAACGATCCTTTCGGTAGACAACGTATCCATCAAAGCCAAGCTCTGAAGAAGTAATAGTGGCATTCAAGTTTGTTTCGGTAAATATAATAATTTTATGCATGGAGATAGGGACAAGGGCATGCAAAGACGAGAGTTTGGAACGAATCCCATTAACATTTTCATACAAGAAGGAAAAGTGTTCAATGCCGTTTGTGCTTAGTCGTTTTTTGACTGGACAATTTTTGGTGTCATTGGAAAGAGCGTAACGTGAAGTTGTGCAGGAAACTTTCTTTTTAGGGAAATAATTAAAGAGTGAGGTGCTGGGGCCCTTTAAAGTTTCGCATTTCTCCATAAGATTAACATGGGAAACAAACATTGTTATTAAACTACAGCTGTTGTCAGAAATGTTGTTGTCAGAAATGCTGTTCTGCTATTTAATTTAATTTGTTTACAAGGAGAATTGTTTTTTGGTGCCATGTGGTCAATGAATTATACTTTTGCATATATTTTAAATGCTATACACTATATAAAATGATAGTACTGTAATACGGTACATTAAGAGATCTTAATTTAAATAATCAATAAGCAGGATTGAGCTTTTGCCTACATGTTTCCTGGTAAGTTTGTTGTAACTGTTTCTCATAGTATTATAGTATCTTGCAGTAAAACCGAATTTTTCTTTTCTGTATTCTCACCCCGTAGCGAAGCACGGGCAGAGCAACTAGTTTTAGTTTTAATTTCTATGTAAATTGCGTATTTGTCCTCTTATACGGATGCCTATTGCATTTCATGCCTAATGGAAAATAAAGCATTTAATTTCATTTCAGAATTTCATTTCATTTCAGCATTTAATTTAATTTCATTTCAAGTTAGTGACTCTTAAGTTAACATTGACGATTGCAATGCTTGTTTTTAATTTTAAAAGCAAATAAAGACATTTCATTTCATTTCTCGATTGCTGTAACATTAGGCCTACTTTTAAAGAGTTAACTTATTGCAACTTTTGTGATTTTCCACATAAAATATAATTAGGACATAGGCCTATTTAATTTATTCCTACTTATGTAAGTGTTTTTGACAAGCAGTGGTAGAATAAGTATGTGTCATAAATTATTCTGACAATTTTAAATGACTCTTAAGTTAACATTGACGATTGCAATGCTTGTTTTTAATTTTAAAAGCAAATAAAGACATTTCATTTCATTTCTCGATTGCTGTAACATTAGGCCTACTTTTAAAGAGTTAACTTATTGCAACTTTTGTGATTTTCCACATAAAATATAATTAGGACATAGGCCTATTTAATTTATTCCTACTTATGTAAGTGTTTTTGACAAGCAGTGGTAGAATAAGTATGTGTCATAAATTATTCTGGTACCGTTTATGTATTGTTTTATATTGATTAGTTGATAAATTCTTTTTCTTTTTATTAACTTAAGTAGGGTTTTTATGCATTAATATTGTTAAAGATTATATATAATTTAGTGTACAATGAAAAAAGTAATTTAAATGCAGCATTTATTAAATCAATTGCAATTTGATTTATAATTGGTTTTTTGGACCATAAATTAAAAGAGGCTATAGTATAGTTAGTTTGTTTAACTTTGCTATAAAAAATAAAAACCATAAAGTTTGGGAGACTTGCGAGTAACTTGTTTTTTGTTCATTGCAACCAACCTCTTTTCGATGCTCTCTCTCTGTTCATGGAAGACTCCGATAATATGACGTCACAGAATTGAACAGGAAGGGAAGGGAAGGGAGGGAAGACAGGAGAGAAAATGGCGAGTTGTTTCTGTTGTGATGCGCTGTGATCGGGAATAATTTTAGTGTTTATGAACTTCAATGATTTTAAGGTTTAAATGTAGCGATAATTTAGGTGCACTAAGGATCCTTAGTTGGCACCATGACATCTAACATGTATAGAGTTGGAGGTGAGTAAAGTGGTTTTATTTTATTTTTACTAAAAAATGTAGGTAGCATGGCCGGTCGGTTCTAGCCTAAGTCTATCTCGTAAGGAATGCGGAATAATACTCGCTAATAAATTTTAACAACGGACTCTGCCATCAATCAATGCCCTTACAATTATATCATCAACTTTTTTGTGAGAGCGAAAATAACCTTTTTAATTTGGAATGATTCTATGTTAGAGGTAGGCTACCTGCAGTAAGTTGTATAGGCCTATCATTATCATTTTAAAACTGTTGAGAACTACCTATTTTTTGTTTATAGACTATGGACCATTATTTAGACTAGGGTAAAATAACTTGATGGCGAAATTCGAAATTAACATTGGCTTAAAACAATTCATTTTGATGGATTCGTTTAGGTGTTAAGATCAAGAATATTAGGCTAAGTTAAGTTTTATCTTCATTTTATTATGTAGTTCTTAGGCTACTGTACTGTAGCTCTTGTAGTCCGTGTTAGCAATGCAATATTAAATTGAGGTTATGTGAGAATGACTTTGTAAGCCTAGGCCTATCATTACCGGTACTGTAAGATAAACAGTGAGATTTTTTAGACACAAGACTACAAGATTATTGAGGCATAGGCTACATTAATGTAGGCCTATATTAAGTTAAGTATTTTGATCCTAGCCTACTAATGCCTAAATAACTTAGGCCTAAGTTAACCCACTCCGCTTGAGATTAGTTTATAGGCCTACTGAATAAGTTGCGTTTACAATTTTGGGTACACTCCCATATCAGTTGGCACAAACAACCGAATAAAACTATTGATCTATAAGTTATAACTTAGGCTACTAGTGTTAAACCTAATTTTGTTATAGGCCTCAAGCTAGGGAAATTTTTATAGGTACCGGTAGACAACCTTGTCCTAGGCTATGTAGGGACGTAGCAATAACATACCTACCATTAAGATATACGCAGAGGATACACGTCCGGTAACCGGACGTGGATTAGGCATCCAGCAGTTATTGTCATAACCTAACCTAGCCAACCAAACTTGCTGATAATGAAAATACCCCCGCCGCAGCAAACCTGCAGACTAAGCGAATTTCCACTTGTCTATTACATTTAGGCTAAACTAAAATATTTCCATAAATAAGACATAGGCCTAAGTTATTTATTCCCAATTTAAATAACTTAACTTAGCAATTATATTTAACGAGTGCTTAGGTTTGTTGCAACAGGGAGGGTACTAAGTGTTTTTTTACTAGACGTCAATAAGTTAGGTAGTAGGTAGACCTATAGTATGAAATAAATAAATTTGCCAAATTTTATCAACATTATATAAGTTATCCATAAACAAGTACTTAAACTACCTACAACAGTTTACATTTTCTCCATAACAATAACTTAACATGTTAATTTTAAATTTACACTTTTTTGAATTTTCTCTGCAACCATTAAGTAGGCTATAAAACAATGCTTCAATTTACTAAATTATTTCTTTATTTTGAACTCTACAAAATGGTTGGGAAAGATACAGTAGACCCCCTCTTAACCGACCCTAATGGGACCGGACCTAGGTCGGATGATTCAAAAGGTCGGATAAAACGGGCAATCCCTAAAATCATAACATAATAAAGTGCTATTCATTTGGAATTATATAATCATTATTTTGAAGTCATACTTGCATTATTTATAAAATAAACTACTCTTATCTCCTTTTTCATATTGATAGAAATGTCACAAATAAACACAAAACACGGTTAAGTCAAATAGGCCTACTTTCAGTGAATATATTATAATACTAGGCAAGAGTCAATAAAATTCCTATTTTAATAACTTTACTTACTGTAATGTATTAATTAATGCTTTCCAAATACATCGTAATACAGTAAAAGAACCTTTTGTCGTCATTAAAGATACAAGCGACCATTTTGTTACAAGACAGGACGTTTATTTATAGCCTCTCACTGGAGGCTCGAGGCACAAAAACTATCTTGACCTTGGAGTTGTTAACACCCCTTCCCTGCCCTCCCTACAAGTTGCGTTGTTTGTTTACTCCAGCAATAAGATAATCAGTTCTCAAAATCGTAACGCACTTTATGATGTTATAAATTTGCCGCACAGATAACAAATCAGATCAGATGTGCTCGAGCTACGAACGATGATGACAAACTGACAATAGGCTATGCTATATTTTTTGTGATCATCACAAAATGACTTATTGTTAGTCATATCCTGTGGAGATAAGCGTATGGTTCAGTTCTCATCGCCCAGCAGATTCCTAGAAAGCGGCGGTTAAACCGAACTGCTCTCAAAGCAAGGTCGGTTAAAACAAACTGTATTATTTTACGATCAAAGGCGGATAATCCGATTATCGGTTAATGCGAGGTCGGTTAAGAGGGGGTTTACTGTATTCCAAAATTTTATGTTTTTAGGGTAAAAAATGGGAAAAACTCATTTATACCCCATGAAACCCCCCATAAACCCCCATTCCCATGGTCCGATCATGCTGGTTTGCGAACTCGTTTGCGAATAAATGTAGGTTTAGCCTACACGTTCATACCAAATTTCATCAAAATCTGATAATTTTTGTTCGAGTTATTGTGCTAACGGACACAGTAGGCTATATATGAATTTGAAAGGATGGTGTTTTTGGCCTCTTGGGACCTCAAAAGGAAAAAGTAAATCGGTCCCGGGTCCATGTTTTACCACGAGACCTACAGTAATAGCTTATTCCCTATATGGGAAATTTGCTAAAATCGAATGTAGGCTAAATTCTGTTCATAAAATAAAATTATAAATGCCAAAAATTCTAACAAAAGATGTACGGTACAGTTAAACAGATTTGGCTTTCAAAGCAAAATCTTTGATAAAAAGTTAAAGTTACCGATGGGATTCGAACCAGGGACCACTTACATATCAACCGAGCACCCTATCCCCTAGGCCTACACCACGAACACCAATGGCTGCACATCATATCGTTGTGGTAATATCGTTCTGGGCCCCCAGAACCCGGTGGTGTCACTGCCGTTCGCCTAACCGGATCCGTATCCTCTGTGTATTAGGTATTTGATTACCATGTGTAGCTTTGACCATATGTTCTAAGTTAGGACTTCTGGATTGTTTGAATGAGACTTGTTTAAATCACTAGGCCTACTGAGTCTTACCGTAAAACAACTGCTAACTTACATGTAACTTGCTCTTTGTGTTGAGTTTTTTTTTTTTCTAAACAAACCCACTTGCATCAAACTAATAAGCTTCCTAAAGTAACAAGCTTAAGTTAGCGAAATTGAAAGTGTCACAACTTCTCCCACTGTGAATGTTTAAACTATCTAGGTACCCTACATTTTCTGTTTAGGTTAGGCCTAACTCATTGAAACTTATTGTTTCGTTTTAATAGTCGTAAGTTACCGCAACTTATAAGTTGTATCTTTTGGTAGGCCTATTGTAAATAAATAGGCTAACTTAATACCTATATATAGGCCTAATGTGTTCGTTTGAAGAGGGCTGATTTTAATAACCTAACCTTTCCAATTGGGGTAGGCTACATTATTTTAATATTCAAACCTGTCTTATAATCATTTTTCATTTTTCAGATTATGTTTACTTTGAAACATCTTCAACATCTCCGTATCAAATTAGAAGAATAGAAGAGCTTAACAAAGTAAGTAAAATTACTTTTGTATTTTGTGTTAATTTATAGCCTGAGAAGTTGTTAACTAACTTAGTTTTTAACATGTATAGCAGTGACCGACGACCGCTAGGGATAAATAGCTTTAAATTAGCTAGAGGTAGGCTAGCTGAGAGTTTGTAGTGCTCGTCTGGTAATCATGAGGTCGCCGGTTAGATCCTGAGAAAAGTGTGTAGCTTTTTGATGGTTCAAAACTGGACCCGTAGGCTACTGTCCTTGATAATTGGTCTTTTAATAAAATGTATCAAAAGCCCAATTATCAAGGACAGCTGGTCCTGGTTAATGAAACAGCTGGTCAGTAACAAAGCTACATAAGGCATCTTACTTCATTCTACAATATCATCCTTCACTCAGATTTGCATTAACCCTACGTGCGGCGAATCGACAAAATATGTCGATCTCAAATTGAGTTGCTGAAGTGGCAACCGACAAAATTTGTCGATTAATGTACCCTAAAATTTTTTAAAACTCTTATACCAATGGAAAGATGAGATTCTGAACCTTCATTTTATTATAAGAATGAACCTTATAACATAAGTAGCCTATATCAATCTAATCATGAGTTAATTTACCTTTGAATGAAAATAATGCGTGAACTTGCGAACCGTCATGTTTTGTGTTGAAATTGTGTAAGATGAGTAATTTCAAAACAGACATAAATTCATAGCAGACGTAATTTTTGTTTCTAGCAAAGACAAGTGATACCATTGCAATAAGGAGGAAGTATACTTTCATCCATATATAAGAATAAGAATAAGAACTTTATTCAGCCAGATAATATTTCATGCAAATACATTGGCACGTCAATTTTATAAATAAATAATATTCAACAAAAGTCCTTAACAGTCCTGACGTATTACTCTTCTATAGAATAAAAGGATCCTTTACATAGAAAATAATTAAATTTAATTTTAAAATCCTTATCACTAAGCAGTCTTATATCTAATGGTAACTTATTGTACAACTTAATTGCAATCATCATTGGTCTTTTATCTGTCATCTTACTTTTGGCAAATTAATGTTATTACAAAAACGAGTATTATAACAGTGCACATCTTTTCTACAGTTTAATAAATGAATATTAGAGTTAAAAAGTTAGAAAGTTAATAAGTCCCAAAGTACCCATGAACTTTTGAGAAAACTACAATTCATACCCACATAAACCATATACTTAAAATATTCGTCATGACGAGAAACCTTGCACTAAACTATCAATTATTTCATAAATTGCCCTTAAATGTCGTACAGTAGAGTCCCGCAAACTCGTCACTCAATAACCTGGCAGGCAGGATAACTCGGCCATCGTCTGGCTCAGAAAATTAGTGATTTTTTGAGTCCGAGTTAAACATGGACCAAGCCAGCTCAAGTCAAATCATTCGCAACTCATACCAAGGAATTGTTGTACTATATCTGATGACTTAATACTGACTTGTAATATAAATATAAATAAAGAAGGCGGTTAAAAAGCTTAAAATTTGTACGGTTCTTTTTTTTAAACCCTAGTTCCCGATAACTCGGCACCCTTCCAGTGCACATTACGCCGAGTTTGCGGGACTCTACTGTAATTCCTTTCTAAAAGGAACTTTCCATATACCTTATGTAAAAAATGCCCCAGCTGTACTTATTGTTTGTTATTCTTTCAATTTATTAACTTTTTAAAATCAAATATGAATGATTGTATTACTGTATTCTGTTTTGTTTATTTCAGCTTAACTTAACCAATCAATAGTTTATTAATATACTTATAAAGTCAAACGGGGGGAAGCCCGTGGGTAACAGCTAGTTATGTATAAAGTATTTAATGTCATAATACATTCCAACAGCTGATAAAAAGTTTTTGTAAATAACCAATTTTTACGTGAGGCTAGTGTGCAGGGCCTGTTTAAGGGTCTAGTCGCCAGTAGGCTGACGTTTTTTCGCGCCCCCCCACCTCTCTACCACTAGCCCTCTCTGCCACCACTTTCAAAATTTCAAAAATTAAAAATGACCAAAGGCATTATACTGCTATTCATTTGATTTAAAAACAAAAGAAAACTGATCATAAATTAATGCATGGTTTAAATAGGAACTTTTAAAACTGCAAATTTTGACTTTGAGATAATATTTTATATTTAAAAGCTACACAATATATCATAATCATAGGAACTATTAATTCTGGTTGAGTATAGATACAGAAGGTACAGACTTTGTTTAAAATAAGTTCACAGTACGACCTTATAAAGCTTCGTTCGCACTAGGGCGGCACGGCATGGACGGGCGGCCGTCACAGAATTTTTTTAACCTTGAACATGGTGGAAAATGCCGGCCGTCCCAGGGACGCCGGCAACGGACAACCTGCAATTTTTCACCTTATGTTCAATGTTAAACAAATGCCATGACGGCCGCCCGTCCGTGTCGTGATGCACTATTGCAAACGGGGTTTAAAATAGTAACAAATCGGTTGTTCAAGGAATGTAAAACTTTTTGATCTAAAATAATGTATTTATTTTACATTTTAATAAACATATGATTGTATTAAATCACAAGTAGACCTTTAACCTAAAATATCAAAAAACCAAACAATTATATACTGGTACGTACTTTCTAAATTAACTCTGTTAGGCCTAAAACACCTTACCTAGGCCTAAAACAATTTTATTAGGGCCTTTAGATGGGGTCTTTACGCCCCCGGTCCCAACTTTAAGTCTTAGCTGTCTGGCGCCCCCCTAAAACACTTGGCTGACTGGCGCCCTAGGCTCCAGCCTAATTAGCCTAATGGGTAATCAGGCCCTGATAGTGTGGCGAATAGACAAAAATTTTCTATCTTTGAAACGTACATATTATATAATTTGAAAAGTACAAAAACGTTGTGTAGTGTTTTGTGTCGATTTTTCGACTCACAAACACTGTTTACGGCGAAGGCTCTATGACTGACAAAATCGGATTGAACTGGATCGAGTTAGGTATCGTTTTATTTGGCAGATTCTAAGCTTTCTCCCGAGGTCTGTCTCTAAGCGCTTTTTTTTCTCGAGCCGATCATAATTGTAGCAGACAGCTGACGTGCGTATTTGTAAACAGCTTGGTTAACCTCGCACCGATGACTGATGTGTTTTATTACGTTTATCATTGTTTTAGTGTTAAAAATCAAAAGTAGTGATATACGTGGTGCATTATAAGAAGATTTAAGTGATTTTGAAGGGCTGGTTGATGATCCTGAAGAAGTAGGTAGTGATATTGATGTAAATTATCAGCCAGATTCCTAGCTATGTTTAGGCTATGCATTATTAGCTAAACGCTATGTACTGAAACCTGTTTTTTGCCCATAACTTATTTATTTACAAATCTACAGTAGAACTTCAATAATCCGAATCAATAGGGACCAGACCCCATTCGGATAATCAAATATTCGGATAACCGGAGTTTTACCGGAATTCCGGGAATTTTAAAGATAAATCATAATTTTCGGTACTAAGTGAACTTTTAATTAATACTAAGTGAAATCAGAACATTTTTACAGTTTACAATGCTCTTAGTACAAGTGTTCTATACATGTTATTAAGTTAGTTTAACCAGTGTGTAATTTTGGGGTTCCATCAAAGTCCAAAATTATACACTGGCTAAATGTGTTTAATAACAATTCTTTGATATTTTGCAAAACTTATTAGGCCTACTGTAGCTTTACGTTTTTAAAATTGTTGAAGTAAGCGATTCGGATAATCGGAGATTCGGTTAATTGGAGTTTGGATAATTTGAGTTCTACTGTACTTCCTTATATTATTATATATTTGTAATCCTCATAAAATTCAGAACAAAGTGGCTATTTTCAAATATTTATAGGCCTATAATTTATACAATTTCATTGAGTGCAAACTTATTTTTTTTTTAAATTTTCCAAAATATTTTTTTTTACCTAAAAAATTTGTTTGAAACAAATTTTCCTTATGTTTTATGTATAATATTGAAGCCCATGATTTTCCAAACAAAATGGTATATAGAACAGTATAATTAACATTGTTTTTAAGCTTCTCAGATCCGTTTTAATAAAACCTTGCAAATGTGCAAAAAATAGGCAAACATTAAGGCCAAAACTAGGGACACTCGGAGGGATATGCTCTTATAGATGAAGAAAAGTATAATTCAATGTTGTCACACAAATAGAAGCTTTGGCTTTCTCAAAGCTGAAAGAACAGACACTTGTCATCGTCTAACCTAAACTGGCCGTGTCGTCGTGAGTTTTTGTCCGATAACAAGACGAAGAGTGAGTTTTATCAGTGACTAACTGGCCCGACAGACGTCGTCCTGTCCTAATGTGGTTTTATGTCAAATGCTCGTTCATTTTCAAGATGAGCTCGTTCGCATGGCTCAATCACGTCCTGGTTGAAGTTTGTTTGCTACGCTAACTAGCCTTCAGGTTGAAGTTCGTTCGCTACGCTCACTCACCTTTTGGTTGCAAATTTGCTGTTGTCATAAATAAAAAAAAAGTAATAGTGTTGCACCCTGTTGGTAAACCTTAACTTATACATAGACATACTTTATTTGCACAAAACATTCCATACATGTCATAACATTTAGAATAGGTGCACTGTCAAAATTTAATCCATACATAAAATATTTAACATTAAAACTTAACTTAAAATTAAACACTTAAAATGAAAAGAAAAAAAATGTTCTAAATTCTAGTTCTGTAAAAATCTTCAATTAGGCCTAAGTAAAAAGCCTTGTCAATAAGTAAATGATCTATTGTCTCTTTAAATTTGGTTTTGCTTAGTGACTTATAGCATGGCGGAAGCACATTGTACAATCTCAGCCCAGCATACAATGGAGATTTTTCATATAATGCTATTGAACATCACAGAATCAAATTGTTTAGTTGAACCAGCTGTTAAGATTCTTTAATTCTATTTAATTATGAGTACTCATAAGGTTAACATGGGAAATTCCAGAGCCACTGGGGCGGAGCCCTTTTGACGGATCTGCACCAAACTTCACACAAA